CGTCCAAAGTGGCCAACAAAGCAGAGACAGAGGCAGCATCACATCTTCCATCAAAGAACTGGTTTCTGGCTTGGAAGATGAGCTCCATCTTTGCATCCGAGTCGGTGCTGTCAGGAATCAGCTGGTCTAATGGAGTGAGAGACGAGAGTAGTGAGACGACTAGCTATTGTATCAGAGCTGCCTGGTCTTCGTAGCATTTGCACCGATTCTTCTCGATCGGACTCTGAATTCTGTCCCTCCTGCGTATTACTTGAGGCATTGCTATGTAGCTAAGTCTTTGGCAGAGTTTCATTATCCATGCTTTGCAAACAGTGCCATAACAACACAGTTAATTAATCACCAAGCTTCTTTGCAAGTTCCAATACAGTTGAATTGCACGCGATTTGAGTGCAAAAATCAAGAAAAGTGCCAACTTGTTCCCGTAAAATATTTTGAATATTGACCTAAAAAAATGAGTAATTCCCAGATAAAATAACAGCGAAATCAGTTTTCGCTTGCCAATAAAACTCACAGATATTGAAGCTCCATTATTAAAGGAACATTTTAGTATATGCCATTCTTGATAAAACTTCTTAGCCACGCAATACCAGCGCAAAATAAAGAGACACTGAAAACACGACCAATCACTCCGATTTACCATAGGAAAATACATAGAAAATGTATGTCTCAACTGCGCCAAATATACAGACAGTTATATACCTACATGTGACGTCATGATTAGCCCGACCAATCAGAAGCAAGTCGTTTTCAGCCACAAATAATTAATTTCTGAACTAACTAGGCATTTTTTTAACAAAGTGATTTTAAATTAAATCATTAAAAATTCTGAGCTTTTTTATTTTACCAAAACATACAGAGCATGCAGATAGGTCCCAACCCTATTGACTAAGCTATCCTTCGTTTACGGAATGCAAAGAATTGTTATAGTTCGTTTTTCTTAAGTTCGACCCTCACTGTAATCGTCTCTTTGAACACAGCACGAGAATTGCTAGCTGAATTACTGAGAAAACTGGCTGGCGCACATTGATTTCACAGACGATTAATTTTACTCAAAATTATTTCTCCCTGTCTCTTATCTTCCAGACTCCTAGCTCGTATTTGCCTTTATATACAACCCCACAGGGATAGACGTCTTGTCAGAAATTATAACTGAACTGATCAATAGATCGCATGGCGTTTAACAGAACGGTATATCATCGGTGTTAAAAAACTTATTTGGAAAATATTATTCATGTCTCCAGTACAATGTGCGCTAACCAGTTTTCTAAGTAATTCAGCTAGCAATTCTCGTGCTATGTTCAAAAAGATGTTTACAGTGAGGGTCGAACTTAGAAAAAACGAACTATATCTCCGGAAGAGAGGACTTCCGCCCTGCAAGCGGCTGAGGAAAGACAGTTCCTGGGAAGCCACAGACTCCCATCGTGTCTATGTAAATAGGCCAGAGAGTCCCGCGCATCCAGCCGGGAGTGGTCGGGGCAGGACGACCTGGGGCACCCTACCCCGGGACAGGGGGCTGGCCCAGAGACAAAACAAGTCTCCGGTTTCGGTGGGAGCCGCAGGAGGTCCGTCGGTGACAGGACTCACCTGGCGGGGCTCAGATGGGCACCGGAACAGTCTCATCCCGCCCTCTGACCCTTCCCCGACCCCTGGGAACGGCAGCGAACAACGCCAGCCGACGCATTGGGAGGAGCGCTGGTATATACCAGGCTATGGGAAGCGGTAAATAGACAATAAACAAAACGGAAACAGAAGTAGCCCAACAGAACTGAATGACGCATTTGCTGTGCCTATGAATTTGACTGACAGCTGTCAACAGTTTGTGAACAACAGTCCACATTTCATGCATCATAGGTATGTAAGTAGGGGAGAGTGGGGCACATTCGTGCAAAAAAATGGATAAATCCATATATCTGTTCTTTGATTAGTGCAACGGCAAAATTGTTGATTGTAGTATGGAAAGGAACTATTGCAGATATTTTTCCTGTTTAAAAGTTATCCTCTAAAATTATTGCTTCTATTAGAAAAAATGGCTTTTAATAACTCTGAACGTTTGCACGAAACTGTCCCACCTATGGGGCACATTCGTGCAAGGGGTGGGCACTTCCGTGCACCCTGCAAAGTTCGAGCAATTACCGGGCATTACCAGAAATTTGCCAAAGGAAATTGGCACGGGGTCATTTCACTTGATTCCTTTCGACAAGAATGCATTGCACAACATATGTAGAAAGAATGGGCTGGCCAACAAGAATATGCTAACTGCCGGCCTCCGTGACTTCGCCAAGGTCGCGTGAATTACTTGTCACGACGTCGCAAGCAGCCGAGACAGTCGGCGAGCGTCATTAGTGAAATATACTACAGATAAAGTCATAAATCGCAAAAACGAAACAAAAATATGCGCGAATGTGCCCCTAGGCAGTACATACACGAACCTGCCCCACAACGTTATTTGTAATATATTTCAAAATTTCTTGTTAAAAATGACACTTTTTCAACCGACAACTTTGCAGCGGTTCCGTGAATAGAGTGAGCTTCGTCGCCCCCAATTTTGAAAAGCTGAACCATATTTCCGAGTCACGATCACAAAAATGGATGATATGAGAAAAGTTTGGAAAGCGCACGAATATTACAAATTTGCGCTCTCATCAAGCATGGCAGCAAGTACAGTGTTGTCTTCTACAGTGAACAAAGGGCGGCAATGATAGATATATTTCCATAATTTACCTTGAGCTCGTGCAGTCACTCATGTTCCCATACACTGCTGAAAACGAATGTGCCCCATGCACGAATGTGCCCCACTCTCCCCTACATGTGTGCACAATGGATGTCGTGATAGGCGCCACCGACAGGTCCGATAGGCTATCGCTTTGTCGGTATGCTTATTTTTTGGTTTTGTGCTGTGTTGCTATAAGTGAAATTCTTGTGTCTCTTCTTGACTTAATTTTGCATTCAGTTTTGTGTTAATGTGTAGTTAGTATTTAGCTTGTGTGATGTGATTTACGGTCACGTGACCCGGTGAACAACCACGTGGGCGGCCGGGTCAACGGAAGGTTGGCCTGCAGCGGTCGCCATTGGGTCGCGGAGGCGGAGGCGTTCCGCTGCCATGCGTTTGCTTGCTCTTCGTCTCAAAGTGTCGTTAACTGTTTCATGCTGGTGGCTGGTTCAGCCGCCCGACTTTTGGAGGGCCGATAAAGGTGCACTGTGTGGGTTAGATGAGATTGGGAAGCACAATCGTCTCATAGTTATTTGTGGAGTGGTTTCGATTAACTCCGTGTGTTTGTTTGCTTGGTTATTATTAGGTCAAACTTAAGTTTATACCTGTTTCGTGTTTTCAGAAAGCGACTCGTGTTTTGCTCGGTTCAAATATAACGTTAGCGTTCTATGTAAGGAGCGAGCGTGTTTATACCTTCTGGGCACATGATTCCTGAGGTCCCGAAACTGTCGGCGGCGCCGCTACACGAGCAAAGGATGCACACGTAATGAGTTCATCTTACGTGGGCCTAGACGTTTTAGAATTTTAGACTTTATAGACTTATAGCGTGGCGGGTCTGAAACATGCCTGTGTTAAAATTTATCGCAAAAAAACGATCACTTACCTGTCATAGCACCTTATGGCATAACAATTATGAATCGAGGTCATTCGAGCGCGATGTTCCGACTCGGTATCCAAAGGTCGTCTGCATTTGGTGTAGAAATTGGAAAAGGTTCCGCAGCTCATTCACCCTAAAAAATCCATTTTACAAGTCATGAATTATCCAGTCATGGCTGCTGATGATGCCGGACGTTTTTGAACAAAAGAGTCAGTCTCATTTTTCTTATTTATTTTTACATGTTATTTGTTTTTACATTTTTGCATCACACGCAAAATTCAACCAACCCCGTCCAAGCGTAACAACCGTAAGAAGACAAACTGAGTTAACATTTAAAAATCCAGTCACTTAATCAATCTCTGGACGCTCCAAAGCAACCGTCCTGGTGGTTTAGCTGGTTCCGTCCTGTTGGTGAACTCTAGGGCCAGCATATTTCTTTTTATGTGAAATATCTGTGTAGTGTGTATGTGTATTGTGTAACCCTCAGTAACCTGACTTGAGGTGACTCAGGGTGGAATTTTCACCGTTTGTCTCGCCCCATGCAACTCCGTTTATCCATCAGAAGGGACTCAGACCCTCACAGTTTGCAGTTGCACCCTCACACAGAGTTCTGGCTCCGTTGAAACGAGTGGCCAAGGGTGTGCACGATCAGTCGCTCATATATCTACTCCGGCCGTGTTAGGGTGTCCAGTCTCCTTTACTAATAGCGTTGTCTTTTGTGACAGCGCTGGCCGCTGCGTTCCGCTATCTTTTTCAAATGCAATTTTCATTGTTACCTTTGAAATCTGAATTAGTTATAGAAACCACTACTTATTGTTAAATGATACAGATTTAAAAATGCATTAATTTTTAACTATAGAAACGACAGTACCGTGTACCTATTTATCAGATGTCACAATTTGGCAGCAAGGCTTTCTATGGATGCCATTTTCGATTGACTGATTGCACGCAGCACGCTTCATGACATCGGCAGAACAGCTTCCGAATAAGCCCCGTCCTGTAACGAGTGAAAAGCTAGCTAAGAGCATCGGTTCGTTTTTTAGCTCCAGATGTCTCAACTCGGCAGTATGGTTGTTTTGTGTAATATTGTTGTTCGCGATATGTTCTGGCTGACTCTCCGGGCGCGAAGTGCTCCATTTTGTGTCGGCTCGTTAGCGGAGCTGTCCGCCGGCTCGTCGGCCGGTGTTTCCGACCGTCGACCTGCGGCGGGCAGGTGCCAGTGTCCGGTGACACCTCCGGCCGGCGGGGGGCGATGTCACACGGCGCGATTTGGCACCACGAGCGGTGATTAGCGCACCGTCCGCCATTGGTCGGTGTCCGCTGAGGCCCCGCCCACCGCTCGACGGCCGGCCAATGAGGTGCTGCGCTCCGGAGCGGGTTGTCCGACCGTGGGACCGGCAGAACCCTCAGGTCAATTTGTGGGAGAGGACTGTGACGTGAGGCGTCGGCACGGCAGTGGAAGCTGACATGGCACCAGAGAATAGCAAGGTAAGTCACATTGCATTCGACAAAAAGGCAACAATTAGTAATTAGTTTGACTCATAAAATGTAAACAAAGAAAAAAGAGAAACTATGCAGTGAACCCTCGACTCGACTAACTTATTTTCTTCCTTGAGCAGTCACACCCCTTTCATCATGCGCTTCTTTACCGGTCACCAGTAAAAGCACCCTGAGTCGCGGGCCGAGGTATGAACTTGCATGCTACTTGCGACGTGCACGAGTATAAACTGTACGGGATTGAAGAGGTAAAATGATTTTTGAGGAAGGTCAAGACGAGTGATTATCAATATAGAGGGTCGATGGGCCACTCATGGTATTTAAAAGTGCCTTACCGATTGATGATCAATTTGAGAGGGCCAAGAGGGAGATTGAACGTTTGGAAGAAATCATCTCGGGGCTATTTCGACAAAACGTAATGCGACGGGCCCAGGGGTAAGAGAATGCAATTTGTTTTGAAAATGTATATCCCTGTAGCACTGTTGGTCATGCAATATGAAAACTACAACGCAGCAGTGGCACTAATGACCGCATTAGGAGAGGCTAAATGGGTAAACTTACGGTGGAAGCACCCATTCGAGAACTGCGTCATTGAGTATTATTCCTCAGTGCAGCGGTAGTCATCCAGTAGAGTGCCCTCACTGTGCGTTGTCTACATAGTTGTGTCGTCGTTGTTTCAGAGTGTGTCCGCCGCGGCGGGGTCCGCTGGGGAGGCGGCGCCTTCAGAGACCCCTGAACCGCCGGCCGCCCGCCGGCGCTCCCTGCGCACGCCCAAATGTGCCCGCTGCAGGAACCACGGCGTTGTGTCGTGCCTCAAGGGCCACAAGAGGCTGTGCCGCTGGAAAGACTGCCAGTGCGCCTCGTGCCTGCTGGTGATGGAACGACAGAGGGTGATGGCCGCTCAGGTGGCCCTGCGCAGGTCAGTCGTCCCCCCCCCCCACACACACATATCTTCAGCAGTCCCCCCAAATGGGGTGGCCCTACGCAGGCCAGGGTGACACAGGGCGTCACCAGCCAGTCATTCGCCCCTTCTCAGAGCAGGGGTCAGTCATCCCTCCAAGTTCCAACGGTGTACGGTTAGTCACCTCCCCGAACGCACAGACAGGGAGCCGTCAGTCTTGTCTCCGTTCTAACAGGGTGGCAGCGACCGGCCAGTTCCTTCGAGCAGGGTAACAGGCTAACAGCGGCTGGTCGATTCGCCCCCCCCCCCACACACACACACTCGTCGCCCGTTAGACACAACGGTCGGCCATTTTGTGTCTCAAAAGAGAATGCAGCTTGAGCAGGGTGAGGAAATTTTCGCACAATGCAGGAGGCAGTCAGGATATACATGAAAATTTTACATCGCAAATCAAAGCACGATTTTACAGAGGCTTTTCTGTGCTTCCCTATCCGTATGATGATTAGGTTTTTGCTGTTGCGCCAGGTTAGTACCCGGTGGTAAACTATGAGTATGCAATTTCGTTAGGCGGCACGGGCGGACATCGATAGCAGCGCCTCTATCGGTCACTAGGGAAAGCTGGGCTGTAGGCAACGAAATACCGGCTGAGTTGTCACACGTTGAATAGGTTTATAGACATCAGTCTTGTGAAGAAGTTGACTTTTTGCCTTCAATATTTCTACAGGCAATTTTAGAAGTGTCTTCACATAGATTACAAAACCGTTTAGATTATTATATTAACTTCAAGCCTTCCCTATTGTTCTTGACGGATGCGGGAACTATTTCTAATTAGTGTTTCTAGCTAAGTAAAAGAACACATTGTGCAAACGATGAAAAAAGCATAAATGGAAGATATTAAATGCAATTTTCTCTAACAATTTATGGTAAATTCTCTACACATCAAGGAAAATGTGCATGCTAACTGATAATTTAAAGTTCTTGGGGCCAGTTGTTTTCTTCTTTTCTTACGTCGCCCCAATGGCCGCGAATACACTTGTGATAACGCCTATCGTATTGGTTTAATTTGTTGGAAATGAATATTTGATTCAAATTCCGTTTTCCGCAGACCGTTTGTCCCATACAATTTAACTTCTGAACCATGGAAAAAGTAGATGCATCCGATAAATATTTGACATTTGATCAAGGATTGTAGATAATGGATATACTTAAAAGATAATAGATAAAAGATTGTAAAGATTGTAGATAATGGATTAAAAGATTGTAAATAATGGATATATTAATGGATTATAAATTTGAAGCCGAATTTGAGCCGAAGGACGGAGGACCTGAGCTATGGGGTAAAAAATACACAAGTAATTCAGACATTCGCAGCCCCGTTTGTGTTTGCCTGCAAGACTGCCGCCCCTCGCTTCCGTTTGAAATACGTAAAATGTCAAGGCAGTTTTCATCTGGAATACCTAAAATCCATTATCTATATAATGGAATTAATTATATAATTAAATTAAAAGATTGTAGATAATGGATATACTATAATGGCGTCCGCACGGCCGGCCGGCCGGCCGGCCGGCCGCTCTGTAGTAATTTTAGCACGGTCGGCATCAACATCTTTTCCGAAGATCAGTCGTTGACCTTTTTGTGGTATGTGCTACATGAACTCAATGATGTACATATGATGTACAGTCACCAGCACTTGCTACCCATCACCCCCGGACGGCGGGGGAGCAAGCTACCACCGCCCTTGCGAGACTAGCGCCGCCATGCGCCAAGAAGTGGAAACACCACGTGACTGAGGCCACGTGAGGGCAGGGTCACGTGATGGAGGGGCGGAGCATAGTAGCTTTTGCGCCCGACACTAACTGAAATGCGGCGCTGTGATTGGGCGCTTTAGCATGAATGAAGCCCCGGCGCCAGAATCAGCCGTTCGCCTTATATGGAAGGTAAGCCTAAGCGTTTCACTGTTCTGTGTTGGTTTGAGAGCCACGGCACCATACGAATTGTGAGCCCCTTTGAACGGGTCACCGCCCGAGGCACTGAGGCGACGGCTGTGCCGGGCAAAGCCTAGCCTGGTAGGAGAGGTGGGCCAGGGAAAGTGCGATCGAGCAGCCACACTGAGACGTGGATTGGTATTATCTAACCGCGACAAACGATGTCAGCAGCCTCTTCTCGTTTATACGAAAAGTTTGACAGATAACGTGGGCAGTGCCCAATCAAAAGCTACCAAACGATTCAGTTAAGAAGTTGGCGAGATAACCAGACCTAATAAAAAGTTTTTAATTCGGTTTTGATTGACAAATGACATACAAGCCCGCTGTGATGGACCAAAAAAGGAGCTGAACAGTTCATACAACTTCTAAAAAGCTCAACGGTAAAAATTTAAAGTCAAATGTTAAAATTCAGCCTGCTTAAACTCGGGTCCGGAGCTGGCAGGAAGCTTATATTGCCAAGCTTGCAATTCCACTACGTGGTAATATAACCAAGAGTTATGTGAGAGCAACAACTGAAAGCCTCGAGCCCCGTTGAGGGGAGGGGGGCGCAAAACAGCCCCCTCTCCTTTTCAGTCGATGTCTCCTAAAGTATAGCGTAGGTCGCCACCAAACTTTCAAGACCCCTCCGGGCATCATTTTACACCTTGTGACCAAATTTTTCCAGAGCTCTTATGAAAGGTTAGTCACAAATGACGTCAGAGTGACGTCATGTGCTGTCATTTTCGACCCAATAAAAGGTTTAGCGGGAAGAGCTGTCACGCTTACAGTTTTGAAGATAACAAAAAATAGGTATTCAAGATAAAAAGATGTAAAATAAACAGCGCTACAAAACTGCCAACTCTGATTTCTAAACAAAAATTGATTTCGACCATCAAAACTACAGAACTATAACACCCCGAAAATACCAACAACATTCAAAATTAAAGCTGGAATATATGTTATAGAACTATCTGCTCTAGATATGCCAAACTTAAACTCGACAGCTCCATTTTTAGCAAAGTTTTGGCAAAAAAAAACACTACTCAAAATGTATTACGTAAAAATTTCAAACTCAATTTTTAGCCGTCACAGAACACACAGAGTAAGCCAAAGACCATCATTGGATTTCCCGTGATGAGCTGCATCGAATAGATACCCCTTTTATGCAAAATATCAACTCTGCAATTTAACCTTTTTTGACCTGACCTTGACCTGACCTCCACCAGAACGTAATCTAAACCGGCCCCAATGGCCGTCTAGCCCACACCATTGAAAATCAATTGTAAAATTGACCATAAAACATGTATCACGCGACCCTAGCAATTAGCATAGTTGGGTTCATATTGTGACCCTTAGTGACCTGACCTCTTTGACCTGACCTGGCATCAGTGACCTCTTTAGGCAACATATGTATTGGGCAACCACGCTCCATCGATGTTTTTCGATATTTATTTGATGTGATGTGCCTTTTATTTGATGTGTTAACGGATTGTAACGCTTACGCATTCCTTAGACTAAATCGGTGAAAAAATGCAGCCTTTGACCGGACTTGTGACGTCATGGGTTGCACCTAGATCAACGAAACCTGGTGACAAGGTTCGATAGCCCCTGGTGGGGCTATCGAACGTTCTTCGAATTTTCAAAATCGGTCGGTAACTTTCCGAGATCTCAGGTGGAGGACGAAACGGCTGCACCACCCCATCACTCATCAGGTGGTAGGGTCCGCCAATAAATAGCCCAACGGGGCGCGAATTATTTACTCATTCATACAGTGTCATCTATTTTTAGAACACCTTTCCCACGCCATGACATGGTCCTCTCGTAAAAGATCGAGATGAGGAGTGTTTTCACGCCTCCTTATGCACGGCTCTAGTGTCATGGAGCTATCAACTGTCAGCGGTTTCCGGACAATGAAGGAAGGCTTTTGGTCGTTTTAGGTAAGATCTTGGGTCAGATCATTTCAGTGGCGGATCCAGAGGGAGGGCATGGGGCCACTCTCCCCCTCCCCTTGGGCCTCCCGGGGGCCCATCACGAAGCTTTTTTTAATTCATCACGGAGGTCCTCGGAGACACTAACTTCGACGTCATGCAGCCATCCAAGCCGGGAGTGAGAGCGTACAAGGAGCTGCTGGATAGTCTGTCTCTCAGCCAGCTCATAACCTCGCCCACTCGTCCTGGAGTGACTTCAACTCTGATCGACCACATCATTACTAGTCACCCTGACCTCGCCACGGCTGCTGATGTAACACCATGCAACATCAGCGACCATGATCTTATCACCGTCTCGATCAGCGGCGTGAAGACGCGCCGCCAGCCCACCACAGTCACCGTGCGCTCCACGCGCAACCTGAGCCAAGACGCGCTCTGTTTGGACCTGCTCGTCGCTGATTGGTCGGCTGTGTACGGCGCTATCAGCGCCACTGACAAGTGGTCGGCCTGGAGAGCGGTGTGGGACCCGATCATTGACCGGCACTTGCCGCTGAAGGAGGTCAAGCTGCGACACAAGTCTCAACCGTGGATGTATGATGAAGATGTGAAAGAGGCAATGGAAGCACGTGACAGGGCTCGGGAGGATAAGGAACGGACACCGTGCGAGGAGACTGAGCAGGAATTTCGTCGCTGTCGCAACGCAGTCAAGACGGCTCAACACCACGCGTGCTCGGAGTATTTCCTGTCATCATTCCGCCGCTCAAAGTCTACCACCTGGCGCGACATCCGTCGGTTTCTTATTTCATCCAAGAAACCAGAACCGAGACCTGATGGGTCATCAGGCCGTCCAGCGGCTTGGTTCGACCGCCTCAACAGCTACTTCTCCACCATCGGCCCCAGCGTGGCGGACGGCCTGGCGGCGCTGGACACCGGAGAGACGCTGCACCCCCGCCCGCCGCGAGTCTCCAGCGGAGCCTTCAGACCGCGCCCGGCCACTCTGCCCGAGCTGTCCGCTGCTCTCCAGCGTATGGGGACGTCCAAGGCGTGCGGGACGGACGGCATTACGATCTCTATGATCCGACTGACTTTTAGCGTGGTAGGGCCGCATATTCTGCATGTGATTAAC